TAAATTATACCTAAATATATAACATAAAATTGTCATTATTTATATTAAAATTATAAATTTAAATGTGAACTAAATGTTTATTAAATGTGAATTAAAATTAATGTCATGAATGCTTTCATGTCACACATCAACAACTTCCTTCGTACGCATCAATGGCTTCCATACTCTCTTTTTATATTTTGCATATGAAAAGTATTTCTACATGTTGCTCGAGAATAATGATTCTAAGATATAAAATAGTGTTAACTGAATTTCTCAACAAATTTTATAATGCATGTTCTTAGTGATGCACTGTTTTTTTTCTAAACAAAGCTATATCTTCATTCCATTGACATCTCCAACTTGGTTTTGTAGTGCTATTTTGAACCAATGTCAGGGGGCAGATTCTATTCAAAGGTTGAAGTATTACGCTTTCTTTCTTCTAGGAAATTTCATGAACGGACATCTGATGAGAAAAAGCACCTCGACAGAAACTCCACTGACAAAGTTTGCACTTCTCGTCAACTTTTTTTATTACTTGTCATCATTCTATGTGAGATGAAACATTTTGAAGGTAAGTTTTTTGCTAGGTAATAGCTCACATTGAGTACTCTCCAGATGGCTTGCCTCATGGATGGATCAAAGAAACTAAATTCAGTGAGGCTAATGGGAGTCTCACTAAAAATCCTGTATGAAGCAATGCTAATTTTCTTTTTTCTTTATTGGTTCCAAATTTCAAATTATGTCTCGAACTCGTTGTTTTATTTTCCAATTCTGGTATTTGAATTAGAATGCTGAATATGCACTCACTTGACTAATAGGGTTGGTTGGGCTTTCATTTTCATAAATCAATCGTTGGATAGCGAGCCTTGAAAATAGCTTGGCTTGCCATGCATGAAAAACTACTGTTATATTGCCTAAATATTAATGACAACATTTTCACTTAAATACTAATTGGCTTTTTGAACATAGCACATGAATGAGAAGACTCGTGTTTGGTTACAATAGCGATGTTAGAGGAGAAGAATTTTTTGTGTTGTATTCACTAGAGAGCCTTCATATATAAAATAAATAAATAAGTAAAGTTTTAGGAGACTTCCAATTGATGAGTGTCATTCATCAAATATAGATCACTTTCTACATAAAATGCTTTTCTACTCTAACATTCCCCCAAGCCAGAGCATGGCTTTCCGATTGTGTAGGTTTGATGGTAGTTTAGTCTCTTGGATGATTTTTGGTGCATTCTTGTTTGCTTTTAGGTGTAGCTTGTGGTTATATTTTTTTTTTTTTTTGTGAGTTTATTCACTCAAATGTGTTATCAACAACATTACGTACCATAGATCCTTTAATCAAATGTGTTTGTGATGATTAGGGATTGAGGGAGGTGATAACCTTATAGTCGAAGTTAATGAAGGATTTCGTGGCAAACACCAGTTAGTCCCAAAATGGTCATCGAAATCAAGAGAAAGGGCAACTACTAGCCATTGATGGT